TTTCAGGAATTTTTTGTGACCTTAAAAATTTATCAAAGAAAAAAACAAAACATATGGGGTTGTAGATCTTTTTGAGATCTAAATTGCGCAATTTTTTATTTTATTTTTTGATTTCGTCTTCGAATTTAAAAAATTCAAAAACTAATTTTCCTGAGGCAAGAGCTGTTTGTTTTTTTTTTCCCCAAAAAAAAACGTGAAACGTATGTGATTTTTTTATTTTAAATTCAGTAACGTTTTTGGATATGACCACAAGGCAAAAGTTGTTCAATAAATTTTTCTGCATAACATATTTGTTTTTCAGAATTTTTTGAATTTTTTTTTATTTTTATTTTTTTTCATGTCCGCGGACCGCGGACATGTCCGCGGGGTCGCGGCCTAGGCCGCGGCCGCGGACTTGTCCGCGGATGGCCGCCGCCGGGGGGGATTTGTAGTCTGCAGCTACTTTGCTTCCCCGCCGGATTGTGCACTATCCCGGATACCACACATCGAGCTCGACGACGCAGGCAGGGAGACAACGGTCATTGAAGCCGACGTCCTCTAAGAAGTGAGTACTACTCACCTACCGAACCGGCTAGCCCTGAACTGGACGCCGCTGAAGCTTGCTTTGTCTATGCCTGGACCTCACAGTGACTCCTATGCGGAGCGGATCTTAGTGCAGATCTTGGTGGTAGTGGCGAACCTCCAAAAGAAAACTTTGAAAACAGACGTGGGGCGGTTTCCGTGGGAACAACCGCTTGGACAGCTTGCCTCACAGCCTGCACTGCGGCAGCCGCCCCCTCTCGGATTCCCCACAGGCGCCACCAGACTTGGAGCTTGCGGCTTAGTTTGTCGGGTTCCAGGGGGCGAGTATGGCCGCCAGGCTGAAACTTAAAGGAATTGACGAAAGGGCTGAGAAATCAAAGTTTACGGGTTGTGGGGATGGATGGTAACGTAGGCAGCTCCAGTCATTCGGCCCCAAGAGGTGCGGGAACCTCATATCAAGGGCCCATTGTGCGCCGCACCTAAAAAGAGGTTCGGGTTGATATTCCCGAACTAGGTAGTGGGCTGGTGGACAGCGCACCCGCAGAAGGGCCCCCACCACTCAAGTTTTCTCTGTCTCGTGGGCCGATCACCCACCGGCTCGCATGCCTGTTGAATTCCTTGGTCCGTTTATTTCAAGACGGGCGGAGTAAAGAAATTCCGCCCGCGCCCCGAACACGGAGGAGCCCGATCGGAACCAGGCTGCGAAGCCGACGTTGGCCTCGGAACCGGTCACTGGGTCTAAGCAACCACAAAAAAAAATGAAAAAAAAAAAAATTAAAATAAAAATAAAAATAAAAATAAAGCGAGGGGACGCGTTGGACCGCGACGACGTGCCCGCCTAGGCCGCGGATAGTTGTGCCCTCTCCGTCGATACCCCGCGCGCGCCGCTCACCCAGGCGAAGGCCGAAACTTCCTCTCGTACGCGCGCTGTCGAGCGAACGAGGCTGCATTAGTGTGACTTGCAGAAAACACGCCAAATACCCTTGTAAGGGTATTTGGTACGACAACGTTGCAACCTGTTGTTTAATGTTAACGACGTTGATTTTGAAATTGGCAGGCGGGAATTACTGTACCGATGGTGTTTGTTTTGTGTGAATCATGGTAACTTCCTCTGTGCAGCTTTCAACATGTTCAATTTTTTTTTACTTTTCCGTAAAACCGCATACCGTTTTTTATGATTCCATTATCAAATCCTGGTTCGTTATCTCCTGTGCGCTACACAAAATGCACGCTCCATGTATTACAACACGTGTGTGCGCAACGCATGTCTGATTACAGATAGTACTAGCCGGTGGCAAATGTGTGCAATCTCTGCATGTTGTACGTCGATATTGTCCTGATTATCAAACTTCATTAACATATATGAACAATGAATGAAACAAATGGTGCAGAACACACACGGAAACACAACCCCGTGCTCTGATGAGATGTGTTTCGTAGGAGTGCACTGAACAAGTTAGGGATTGGGGGAGGTGGAGTGGTCGCGGATGGCATCGACGTTGTCGACGCAGACGACGGCGGAGGTGGTGCGAACTAGTATGATCATGACGTCGATGATGAGGGTTCTCATCATCGACTTCGTCATCATCATCGTTCGCGCCGCCTCTGCTGTCCCCTGTGTCCTCAACGTCCACGCCATCGGCGACCCCGCCTAACTTCTTCGAACACGAATCATTTTCGGCACGTGTAGGGTATGAAGTCTCTATTCAAACGATGTTGCGATACGTTGAAGATTAAAACACACACACACACACACACACACACACACACACACACACACACACACACACACACACACACACACACACACACACAGACATGAGTATCGTTCTAAACATTTCCGTCGTTTGAAGAGAAAGAACATATAAAGAAAAAAACTTAAAAAAGTAAAAAATAAAAAAATAAAAAGAACGAAGGGAATGCATTGTGCGTGACCACACACATGTCGGGAAAGTAGGACAGTCGAGAAAACAACCAGATTTTAGGACATCATTGCATGAAAACGACAAGCCTGATGACTTCAAAGTTCACAAACAAAATGAGCATAAACCTGCTCTACAATACTTGGCACATGATTACACGTTAACCAAAAGCCAGATGACTTCGGAGTTCAAAAACAAATTGACCGCCGTCCTCACAACCACGCCGTCTCGCCAGCCACGGGGATGTCGCCTTACTATTGCGACCTCGGCTATTACCCTCGTGTTCCCGTGGACTTCCTTCGACCCTCGCAGATGCACCCCGACACGAGTTGTCCCGCGCTGRATGATTGGGTTGCACACATGGCGTCGATCATGAAGACCGCACATGAACACATAGCTGCTTCCCAGACTCGCATGGCAACACGTGCGAACCGATCGAGGATGGATCATCCATTCAAAGTCGGTGATGATGTACTTATCGACGCCCGCCACTTACAGCTCAAAGCGAACACGCTTCGCAAGTTTCGGCGTCGCTTCTTTGGCCCATGCCGCATCCTCCAGGCCGTCGGTTCTGATACGGCTTCTAGCCCGGTCAGCTTCCGTGTGAAGCTGCCCGACTATCTACGCCAGGCTCGTGTGCACGATGTCTACCACGTCTCGTTACTGCGTCCTTATCGCAGCCCTTTGAGCGTTTCGCTGGACGACCATACGAGCGCCCTCTACCCATCATGGTGGATGGCCACGAGGAGTTCCTCGTTTCAGACATCATTGGTCGCCGAGTCACCGACGACAACCCTCCCCACGTCGAGTATCTTGTACGTTGGAAAGGTTACCCTGATGAGGAGGCCACCTGGGAGCCCCTCGAGCACTTGCAGCATGCTTGCATGTTGGTGCGTGCCTATGACCGTGCTCGTCGTGTTGGGTTCACTGCTCCTCCTCAGCCCACTGACCCTCCTCCTTCTCCCCCAGCTGAGGAGACCGCTGAAGTTGAGCCTGCTCCATCTGAGGCAGACCTTCAGCAGCAGCCAGATGCATCTAAGCGTCTACAGCGCACTCGTCATCGTCCTGCTCGATACGACGATTGACTCTGACTTACCTTCCCACGTCCTTTACTTCTCAGTACTCCATACACTCCAGTTTTGCTACTTCAGCTCGTCGACGTTGCGGCTCTTCCTCGACGGCATTCCAGACTTCTCATCGTGGACGTCATCGTCAGCTTAATGGACTTCGTCACGATCAGCTCTGCCTACTTCAGACGTCATCACTCTCTTACCACTTTACCCTGTACAGTACCCTGCTTGTGTCGCATGATGGTCTCCGTTTAGCCAGGTTCCTCTGAGTTGGGTTCTCCCTTGGTATACGCCTAGGCATCGGGACCGTAGCGTTGCCCTGGCTTCCCATCTTACGGATCTAGCTCCGACTTCCCTCACTTTAGGAGTCATTTGCATGATTCCCTTACCCATCACTTTTTCTACCCTCTGCCGGCCCTCACGCCCTAGTTAGGCAGCCCCGCATGCTTCGTGTAGGTGCGCCCAGTATACCAGGCTCCCTTGTTCCCTTGCATGGTTGACCCTCCATAGCGGTCACCCCTTGGTCGAGCATTACCCGCCCTGATGGTGTATCTGTTAGGGTCATTGGTTCTGTTCGCTCCCAGTTCCCTACCCTCATTGAGCCTGATGACGTGTGTTTCCCCCTGTCACTATGTGTGGATGCCCTTAGGAGTTTTCGACCCCTAGGCTGCATTCGCCACCCTCAGAGACCATCCCACCCTTTGGTTTGCGACACACTTCTCTTGTGATATATGGTTGACTTGTTGTTGCTTTGTTGCTCTCAGACTGAGGCTACTGCCTCTGACATTTCTAGGATTTAGTTGTTCTGCTTTTGCTGTTCTTAGTACTTATACACTAGTCAGTTGTTCCCAGACTGAGGCTACTGCCTCCAACATTCTAGGATCTAGTTGTCACTACTTCTGCTTTCCTAGGACATGTATGCTAGTTAGTTGCTTTTGCTTTCCTAGTACATGTACGCTAGTTAGTTGTTTTTGCTTTCACTTAGGCTGTTAGCTGTGACATTGCTGTTTTGTGACATTTTCTATCCTAGGTTGCATTGCATGGACTCAGCATGGAGCTTGCTCCGCATCCTAGACGACTCAGGTTTTCTTTTTCTTTGGTAGAGTTCCGCTTCTTGGCGGAAGCGTGTTTGCATCTAGGCGATCCATCACAGGTCGAGGATCGTGTAGCAAACCTCTGGTTGGCCTGCGAGACCAGCCCCTTGGCCTGTTCTCACAGTCCATTCCAGGCCGGTACCTCTGTCGGTACCAGCCAGTCCAATCCAGTCCAGTCAGTCCGCTGGGGTATACCCTAGCAGTTGTCTGTTTCGTCCTCATTCTTCACTTGCACATTTCGGAGTACGTGCGTTGGAGTCTTGCGTGGGGAGCTGCGTTCTGTCATCTCGCTCCCCCCCTTCTTCCTCAATCTCCATCTCTACCAATAGCGGAGCACCACACGTGGTGGGTCCGCTACACTTACGATGACGGCACCGGGGGTTCCGAAGCAGGTGACGATGACGGGCAGGTGGAGCAGGGGAGTGCCCAACCCGTGACGGCACAATCGATGGGGGAGCATGGCGATGTGCTCAGCCGAGGTGGAGCGGGTGAGACGGTGACAGGGCGCCCTGCAAATGGTCGCCCGCCACCTCAAAAGAAGCAAAAGGTGCCATGGACGTTGGGTGAGCGGGTAAAGCTTGCACTTTTGATGAGTGAGGATGATGCTCTTATGGCGGATGCTCATGGCCAACACCATTTCAAGCAGAAGAAGGAGCGGTATGAATGGGTGAAGGACATGATAAAGGACGCCGACTTCAAACACCGGAGCGCAGAAGATTGCCGCAAAAAGTGGTTAAACGTGCTGCAGACGGCGAAACTCATCGTTGAAAAGTGTGAAGCATCTGGTCAGCCGTCGTATTGGGATTTGTCTGTGGAGGAGCGAAAGGAGAAGAGTCTCCCACTTTCGTTTGAGAAGGCATTGTGGGACGCTATGCAGCGGCAGCTAAATCGGTCGTGGATGAAGTGCGACAGTACGCTGGCTTCGGAGAACCTCACGGCGGGGAGTGCAGATGCATCGCCGAGTGGAGGATCAGAGGAGAGATGTGCCCAGGACTCCGACAATGCTGCGAAGAAGAGGTGGCCAGCCAGCGGGAAGACGGGGAAGGAAGAGGCGAGTAGTAGTGTGAGCCCGTTGGGGAGCGCCATGGAAGATTCGACTCGCTCTTACTGTGATGGCCTGGATAAAGCGGCCAGCACTCTAGCCAAAGCCACCGCAGACACTGGCACTGCAATCGCTCTTCCGATAGGAGATGTGGCTGAAGCGATGCGGGGTGGCAACACGGTCCTGGAATTGCTGGTGGGGGTTCTCGCCCGCCGGGGGGCGAACGAAGGTCCTGGTGGTGAAGGTGGGCGGGAAACTGACCCATGATCACGGTGATGTATCTATATATATATATATATATATATATATATATATGTATATATGTATGGACCCGCATCGTTCTGTCCTTGGGCGAGAACCGAACGGCCGTGTGCATGTCCCCGTCGGCAGAGAGCAACCGACACGTAGGCTATTATGCTTAGTGTGTGACTCGTTTTAATTGAATGTTTTAGCTAATTGAATTACTTAAATATACATTTCAATGTATTTATTATATAAATTTCAATATATTTTATATTAGATTACAGATAGATATAGATATAACATACACATATTATATAATACTTTATTTTATATATAAATAATACACATATTATATATATATATATATATATGCTGAATATATATATGGATATATATATAATTATGCTGAATGTGACTACATTATTAAAATTTTATTTTTATGTATATTTACCTTCTTTTATGAATGGAATTATTGATTTAATATTGATATCATAAATACATTTTGTTTTTCAAATGGCGAGGGCCATGCGAAAAAAAGGATATATACATTTGAATATATACATATATGTATAAATTTAAATATGTACACATATATGTATATTCGCATGGTCGTCCTGACGTTTGTTTTTCCGGCGACATGGACACGTGCACGGCCGTTCGGTCCTCGTCCAAGGCCGCACGCTGAAAGGGGGTAGGAGTACCCCGGCAGCGCACACCCCGAACAAGTATGAAGAAGGGCTAATGATCGCGCTGGCATGCTCATTTGTCAGTGCAGTATGCATGGCGACGTGTTGTCTGCTCACTGTCGCTCGCTGGTATTCGGCGGGCTGGGGTGTTTGGAGGTGACCGGTCGGCCATAGAC